GATCCCTTAACATGCTGGAAAAATTACAAAGGACCTTTTGTACCTTTCAATATTTTGTAGTAAGGGGAAGACAAAAACTTTTTCTAAGCTGTTTCAATAGCTACTTATCTTCGCCTTAAACAAGCCAGGGAAATAATGATGATTTTTATCTAATTTAAGTGTAACATAGGATCTGATTGTATCTTTGCCTGCTATATGGGAGAACCTTCTGTTACCATACAGGTACATAGCCACTGAACAAACCACTACCAAATCCTTCCATTTGATAGTGTTAATACATTAACAGCCATAACTTTTTCACTATGAGATTTGGAATTATTTGATGGTCCTTCTCTGAAGCTTCTGCAGTGTTTCTTATGTCACCCATCCTGCTGGGACTGTGGACCTACCAATTCAATTCCCTGTAGATCTTATTCAAGTACCTAACGTCTCTACTTAGCTCTTTTAGCTGCAGCATCTCTTTCTGCTGTCCTAGCCATCCATCCTAACATCCACTGCAACAGTCAAATCCTCATCAGAGTCACTGCTCTTCCCAGCATGTACAGATGGACAACATCACTTAGAAGCATGACTTACGTTTGGCTACACTGTTCAGTGAGAAAACTGTTGCTCATGTTCTTTATTGACTACTACTCTCCCAGTCTGCATGTCATCAGGGAACTCTGCAATACTCTTTCATGTTTTCTTCCAGATCATCATCAAAAACACCCCAAATTACTTTATCTGTGTACATTTTATAAATGTCTGAGTTTGGCTCAATGCTCTAAGGGAACTCAGCTTGCAGTGTTGAACTGAAACACAAAAGTGTATTTTTGGGTCTTTTTTGAGTAGTTGCCTTCCTCCACAGGGAATGAAAACCACGTGGATATTCCCACCACATTAACCTAAGCATGACACTTAGGTCAGCTTAAGAAGGTGCTTCTTTCTCTCAACCAACTATTAAAAGACTACTCTTTCAATTCAGCCGTGAATTACAAGACGTGGGTACCTGCTGCTTGCCCATTCTCAAATGTACCACATCCTTGGATGGTGTACACTGTCACAGAGATATGAATTTGAGCTTTCAGGAGCTTTGCTGAGTTACAACACACAAATCCTGTCCAGGCCTAAGACCTTTATGTAAAATTTTCAGAAAATTGTGGATTCTTACAATGTCGTATGTGATATATCTGATAAGAACCATACCCACCCCTTTGTCTACAGTGCTTGTAATCCCAGTTGGCCTTTTGTACTGGTAACTGAGATACATACCTAATTTACACGCCAGGTAATTCTTTGATATCTGAAAACAATAGGCATGGATTTCCAATAGTTCTTCTGAAGCTATTTTCTCAACAGAAAAAGAATGAAAACGCCACTTGAAAGA